ATTACATGGTCAGTTAGCCGAGCTCTCCCCCACCATCCGGTGACGCCGAGCGCAATTACCAATTCTTCATCGGCGTCGACATTTGTAAGGGATATCGGGCCGCTCCTCTATCATCGATATCGGCGGCGGGTAAACAGAGATGGACGTCGGCGATGACCAGTGGGATGGGGAGGGCTGCGGAGGGGAGGCCGGAGAGCTGCCAGGGAGACGCTTTGGAAGACCAGATGGTTGCGCTGGAGGGCAGGCTGGAACAGGGTGTCACTTTGCCAAATCAGCTTAGGTCTTAGCCGTAGCGATTGACTTAGCGTACCCCAAAGGCTTACTTGGTTGCCGGGTTAGGGTCGCGTCGTTTTGACCATTGTGATTTTCTTCCAGCATCCTAATGTCTTGAATGCAAAAATAATTTAGAATATCCCATGACGCCACTTAACAGACAACAGACATTTAACAGACAACAGACAACATGACGCCATCTAACAGACAGATTGCCACGATACAGTATTTCCAATGTTGCAAGCGTGCCACTTGCGCAACCGCATCAAAGTACGTGGAGGCATGCACCAGCAAGTCGGAAAACGTCTTACCTGGCCATGGCTCAACGTTACCACCAAGCAGCACTATGAAGAGCAGCCCTATCAGACAGGGCGGAGAGGTTTATCCTCTTCGTTCCAAGGAGCACAGCTCCCTCCTCCCTAGCAGGGAGCTGTGGTAGTGGAAATTATGTAACGGAGGGGAGCTGGTTGCTATAGAGAAGAGAACTGCAACAGATGGGAGGACTGCTCCATGCGAAAACACCATGTCGGGTGTTGCTGATCACAGCGGAATGACCAATCTCGCTCAGACCACTGCTAGTAACCCGTCAGGTGGCACAGTTGCAGACTGAGGCCCAGAGCAAACTGCACCTGTCACAATCGGCGCTGTGCCGCGTCCGTGAGACATCGCCACAAGTGTCGCGAGGACTATAAAAGCCCGCGTGCGGACTGTCAGGCTGAATTCCTACACCAACGGAGCTCCATATCGCATACTTAAAACCGAAGCGCTCATCGGTTTCATTACAGTTGATAGGTTTTTGACTATCGCTTCCCTTCGCATGGCCTATAGCCATGCTCTGCGCTGTTAAGACTAAGCAGATTATTGTTTTGTGCCTTAGTGCGATATGTGTGTCAGTTGCAGGTGGGTTCTTGGATGTGGCAATGCTCCTCATTCGACTCACTTTGTTCATGCCCTGTTCACTTCTCCACTTCTTCCCCCTGCTTTTGCTTTTCACTCTCCTCTTCTGCCATCTCCCTTTGCCTTCTTCCTTCTTCTCTCCGTCCATCGTTATAATCGATGTCTTCTTTCAAATCGCCTACCTACGATAGTATGTAAACAGCGCAGTATTCTTACAAGGTTTATTGCATTTCACTACATATCGATAAGGGTGTTTGAGAAAAGCGAATGAACTTCAGCGTGTGAAATGGGAATGACTTTCACATGCATGATGAGAACTGGAAATGGGTGCTTGTCAAATACACCACTAAAAGCAAACTATTACACAAAGGCAGCAGCCACAGAATGAGCAATTCCATATTGCAGATCGACTCCATACCGTTGTGCCTGTTGCTTTGTTACGTTGATGATCCATAGTAGGCCCGCAGATGAGTCCTCTCACTCTCATCACGAAGCACCTGTTAGTGCCGGCTGCTGCTGATGAGGTCCTCTCGCTTCAGGCCTGTCATGTCCCGACACAAGCTGGTTTCTGCTGTTGACCAATGAGGGAAAGACTGGTAACTGCTACCAGATGTCGACGTACGAAGCCAACTGGGTCGCAGCGGAAAGGCACTGCCAATACCTGAACTCACACCTAGCCAGCATTCACGCCCTGTACGAGAACAGCTTGGTGTTCGACAACGTCGCCAACAAACGCAACGCATGGATTGGCTTCAACCAGCGGGCCTACCCTGGCTACTGGGAATGGTCTGACCACACGCGGGCCGATTTCGACTTCTGGCTGCCCGGCTACCCTGACAGCGCGGCTGATGGTCACGACTGCGCTACTCTCGTGGACTCGCTTAACACACGGTGTGGCGAGTGGGTAAACGCACCTTGCGAGACCCAGCTGTTTTTCGTGTGCCAGACGGCGGCAATGTAGGCTGGTTCAGCCGCGGCGGATCAGGGTCTGGTTATGAGAAAAGGCGTGCCGAAGGCAAGAGACCCTACATTTCCCGTGAGCGAGTTAACGTCTGGTAAGGGGTGGTAGATGTGCGTGGCAGGGCTGTTATTGGTGGTAGACGTGCGCGGCAGGGCTGTTATTGATGGTAGACGTGCGTCAGGTACACATCGTTTGTGATCGTGCTTGTATCTCTGGTTTCGAAATGTAAGCAGACCTCTTCCCAAGACCAGTGAGCCACCCAAAGCAAAACGGTGCACGCGCACTCGAAAACGCTACCAACCGAAAGCCACCAACGGATCACGTAGGAGAGAGTAGGGTGAATTGCATCAAAATTTATTCTGAGCTCCATATTGTTCTGACGTGTCAGAACGAAACTAATATTCCTATATCTGCAGACAGCTATGACCTTCTGCTTCATATGGAGCGCGAAAGTTTTGGAGAGCTCTTGCTTGTTTTCTCTTTGATAAATGACTTCTGAATGACCTGCTTTTAGATGAGACAACGTGTCCCATCCTGGGGTATATCGCATCATGCGGTGGGGGAAGTTGTGCTTGTGTCATTTTTTCATAGAGTGAGTCGTATCGCAAGCAAGCTGGGTGCGTTACGACATTTAGACCAATTACGCTGCTCTGGGCTATTTTATAATTAGTCGTGATTACGACATGACATGACATTTATATCAATCAGCGTTTATTTTGCAAATTATTCTACTTCCGGTTGGTTGTTTAAGAAGAAATCCTGGGTTTACATGGACATATAACTGTCGACTTGTTTTCTGGATGACAATAAAGTTATCACAAATCATGTCAGCCATCATGAACTGTAAGGTCGAAATAACAACCGATCAAAAGTCGACAATAAGGCTATGGTTGTTTAGAAGAGAAATCCTCCTGGGTTACATGGACATATAACGTTGTCGACTTGTTTTCTGATGACAATAAATTAAATCACAATCATGTTCAGCCAATCATGAACTGTAGTCAGCAATAACAACCGACAAACGTCGACAATAAGCCAAGTCCCAATGACATATTTATCCGTACAATTGTATCACTGATCTTACGACTGCTCCACAAACAAACCGTTACAACACGTACCTTCCCACATCTTAGAAGAAAGTTCGCGTCAACCCAAAATCTTTGGAAAGCAAACGCCAAATGTTTTGCAGAAGATACGACAGACTCACCTCCCCACCACTCACCACAACATTCAGATTGGTCTAATTATACCGCAAACCCCAAACACAACACCGTTCACTTTTGTTCCCAACGGCCCACAAAACACAAATTTGTGGCGCCCTTCCCAAGGCACGTGCACTGTGTAGTCAGAAGTGCACTGACAGGTAGAGGGAGCTACTATGCTTCAGCGGAGTGACCTAAGACTGCCATCCATCGCATAGATTTGGAATAAATCACCCTGATACTACTTGGACATGACACAGCTAACCCCGCTCTCCCCTACTTTCGGCAGGTGAGCGGCGAGGGTTCTAATTTGATGGTGCAAGCCGGTGACAAGGCAGCTAGCTGCCAGCGTACAGTAGCCGGGCCAAGAAGTCCAGTCAGGGCGACCCGTGCCCGAATCAGGGGCTCGGTCCGACATCACGCTCGTTCACAGCTGTTGTCGTGCCCGAGACCGCGGGACCGCGTTAATGAGAGTGAATCAATGTTTGACGACTACCTGGGCGGGCTGATTCGGAACGATCGAAGGTTGAACCGAACGTTTCGATGAGGCGACTCTTCGAGTGTGTAAGTCAGTAGCTGAACATTTAGACGCCGAACACGTGGTGGAGTAGAGGCACACGGCGCATTGCAAACGTAGTTCGTTTTGGACTTAACTGGCCAATAGCCTTGCAAAACACTCTCTTGACGCGTTAAATATATCAGGCCATGCCAGAAGAGTGCAAAGAACTTGTGAGCAAAATAACAACGGGAGAATTTTGAATAGAAGCCTTCAGCTTCAACCAACGCAGAAAACAGCAACTTCCCCATTTGTGCAGCGTAATGTTGGGCTCACTAGGTGGTGGCGCTATGGCGTAGACAGACGCCGGGCTGCAACACTGGCGAACCACTGACGCACTATGATCCCTTACGGCCTTTGCTGAAAACATAGCTTTGAGAAAAAAAATATCCTTGAATGCAGAGTGTCACGAAAAATGTAAGGTAGTGTGAAGACCAGGACGCGATGTTTCAGCTTCTTACACAAGAAGGAACTCAATATATGTGCTTCATGTAATGCCTTCAAGATGCTCCACTTGCACTTGCGCCACACAGTTGCCTAACCCCGGTACTGATCTTCCACTGTCATTCATCTTCCTGACACGTTATGTCGACAGTCTCAAAGCAAGTAACAGCGTGTGTGAATATGTTGCGGTAACCGTGAATCCACTTGGATATTGATGACCGTTAAATACGCGGAATTAAAAACAGCGTGATACAAATTTAATGCATCCTCCCGCTTACTCCAAAACCAAAATAAAACCGACTTATATCTGTCGTATGTGGACATTTTTCGCAAATGTGCGGGCATTATTTTCATTTGTTTGCTGCCAAACGATTTCAGAGCATACTCACCATGTCGCATAACAACATAAGCTGCTGGATGCGTCCTCATTGCCTACGTGATTGATTCTACAACATGTTTGGCGTGCATACAGAACTAAGCATTGCCACTAATGTTGCACCATCGATATGCGATAGAAAGCCTGTGCCTCTTTGTGTACTCCCGCGAGCTCTTACTTCCCGCCCTGGGTATCTTCCACCGAAAGACCGTCCAACATGCGTTTCATTGGGGTAGGCCAGGGAGGCACATCTGTCAAATTAGATCGTCTTCAGCACGTAATGGCAGATTGATGGCGGGGCCGGAGCGTGACCTGGCGGAGGAGATGAGCGGCCCGGCAGGCGACGCAACACAGCAACACCAGCCGAGGGCCGAGCAGACCTGCCGGCCGAACCGGAGCGTGACCTGGCGGAGGAGATGAGCGGCCCGGCAGGCGACGCAACACAGCAACACCAGCCGAGGGCCGAGCAGACCTGCCGGCCGAACCGGAGCGTGACCTGGCGGAGGAGATGAAGTCGGCCCCTGCAGGCCGACGCAACACAGCAACACCAGCCGAAGTGCCGAGCAGACCTGCCGGCCGCAACCGGAGCGTGGACCTGGCGGAGGAGATGAGCGGCCCCGTGAGTGCGATCGCAAACACAGCAAACACCAGCCGAAGGCCGAGCAGACCTGTCTGCCGAACCGGAGCGTGACCTGGCGGAGGAAGATGCAGCGCTGGCCCGGCAGGTCGACGCAGCAACCACACAGCAACACCAGCCGAGGGCCGAGCAGACCTGTCGGCCGAACCGGAGCGTGACCTGGCGGAGGAGATGAGCGACCCGGTGAGTGACGCAACACAGCAACATCAGCCTGAAGGCCGAGCAGACATGACGGTGGACCGTGTCAGCAAATGTGTTTTTTTGTTGAGAATCACATCTTTGCCTATGAATTCTAGCTTCTTGTAGTCAGCTTACTTGCCACAATTCAGCCGCTTATCGAGTTACCCAATGGTATTGTGCTCTAGTTGCATGTAAATATGCCCTTTGACATCGGTCTTGTCATGCTTTATGCACAGCAAGTTGGTGCCCATGGCACAACTGAAGCAATGTCAAGTCAAGTAAGGCTTAAGTGAAGCATTTTGACACGGAAAACCACTCACAGGCAATGTTAACATCGCGACGAAGGACACCTCGTGGTCGCACTCCACACTGTGTGTGGCGTGCCGAAAGACCCAGCACGGCACTGTTACCCTTTGGGCCGAACTGGAAAGCAGTGATGTGAGCATTGATCCGTGATAAAAGCTATGCCTATATTGTAATGCTTTGATAGTTAACAAGAATCGTAGTCTGTACAGTTTGCAGCATCACTGCGCTATCAGACATCGGGTAGCTCCTTTTCTTAGCACCTCTCGTCGCAAGATGCTTTGCATCCCCATAACATCACGTAGTTAGTATTCACAGTAAACATTTTCGCCAATAAACTCCATCAGTCGGAGTTTGCAAGGTCAGTCCTGATAGCAACTCATTCAGTCCTGCTCGCGCCGTCACATTGTCTCCGCCAGATTCAGTCTCACTGATATATTTCATTTCCTAGCGCTTGTCTCAGTTGCAGTCGCCCCGACACACCGCAAACGTCCCCTTCGCTCGAGGTCTCTCCTAACTTTCTACTGACGCCTCCTTCAATCCCAGCCTCATCTGACACCCACACAGATATCTCCCTTGGTCTGAGTCTCCCCGACTCAGGTCTCCCCCAGTCTCGGTCTCCTCCCGGCAACCGTCCAACATCTCCTTCAGTTCGTTTCCGCCGCCTCTCCTCTCTCCCCAATAGCCGCTGGCCCCCGCGCCACGTACCTCAAACTGTCGGAAGTATTTCTCAGCAGAACTGGGGCCGTTCGGCGCCAGAAACGTCACGTCTGAAGCCGCGCCACCCCAACTGTCGTAATTACACAGCCTAACGAATTCGCAAACAGCGGCGGGCTGACCAGCGACGGACAGCGGCAAGCAAACAGCCGAGGATTTGCTGCCGATACACTGGACATTGTGGAGATGGGGGGGATGGGGGTGGGGGAATCGGGCGTGGCTAAAGGGACGGGGAGTCTGAGGTGGTTGAGAGCTCGGCGTGGTGGACTGGTCTGACGAGGAAGTTTGAATCATTGGGATTCAATGTTACAAAGCTGGAAGTAAGGATCGAGCCCTCAGGTGGCTTGTTCCTTATCCTCTGTCACACACTGCCTTGCTCGTCGCGGGAGGTGGAAGAGAACTTGGCTTGAAAGAAAATCACGCTGCGTAAATGCGGATGCCTTGCACAACACGCATATTCTTTTAGGTAAAATTGCAACATTTTAAAATCGGGCGGCATACGTGGAAGCCACTATAAGTCGCGCATTCTATATCATGAATTCCTCATTCATTTTCTGCAGTGTCTGAGCTTGACAGTGTTACTCACAGATCGCGGGCGACTTTTTATAATCCATCTCTCAATTAACGGAGACTTTTAATTTCGCGCGCCTGCGGCAGTCGCAACAGCTGCCGCCGAGGGCGGTACGACTCAGAGGGTGAGCGACTCCACACGGAGGAGGGATGTAGCGGGCGGGGAGGATACGCCGCCCCAGTGCTGGGAGTGCGAGCGGCTCCACACGGAGGGATGTGGCGGGCGGGGAGGATACACCGCTCGGGTGCTGGGAGTGCGAGCGGCTCCACATGGAGCGGTGTGGCGGGCGGGGGGATACGTCGCCCGGTTGCTGGGAGGGCGAGCGGCTCCACACGGAGCGGTGTGGCGGGCGGGGAGAACACAGCGAGACACGCGTGCTACACAGAGCCTCGTGCCTTGGCAATCAGCTACCGTTTGACACTTTGTGGCTCGTTTACTTGGATTTGAATACGACTGGCATATCAGCAGCAAATTTTCCTATTTGTAAGTATGATCCGAAGTGCTGCAGCCGTTAAAACAACTTACAGAGGTAAAAGGCTTTCCTGCAGTAGTAGGTCAAAAAAGTAAACGGTGAGCGCTTTTTGTTCTTGGAAGCAATTCGACTTCCGACTTGTTCTTGGAAGTAAGCAGAAATCGTATGCTGCATCTGTCGTCGGTTGCGCCTTTTCATCAGATGGTCACTGTGTCACGAAGCGAAGTCTCTGCATGTCATATGTCATGTCACATGTCATGATAAATGCCACATGCCAGGTGGCATATCGCAAGCCAATCAGCATCTGCAAAGCACGAATGGTAATGGGCTTTTAAAAGTTGAATGCGAGCGATAATATCCATGTATCCTCCAGGTTTGCCGTCCGGGTGTGAAAACCTAGCGGGCCGTTCAATGTCGTGCCACGAAGTATCTCAATGTTTATTTTCGCTTTTCCTTAGAAAAGAAAACGCCAGGAGAGACAACATCGGTGAGTAGTTGGCTTCTCATCCACCATTTTGGGGTGTGAGTAGATCTCTGATTGTTCATCTTTATTCCGCAGCACGTGCTGAATATATTTATCGCTTCTCCTCGCGCTGTTCAGGTACTAATTAGATTACCACCGCTTGGTTGGAGTCATTTTCTGCCGCTATGAATATATGAACTAGTAGGTCCTCTCCGTCCGGGGCTGCCGCGGCCATTTTTGACCTAACTTTGACTGGATCCGCGGGCCAATTTATCTAATTACAAGTCTTCCGCGAGAGACTCGGCCCGAGTAATGAGAACCTAGCCAGCTGGCGGCGCCTGGAGGAGGCTTCGCGAGCCGACGGCTGTTTCCATTCAACTAGCACTGCATGTAAAGCAGCAGACGCTGCGCTGCACTGATAACTTGCAGCCGCTTCCGCTGCCACTGCGGTCAACTATCAGTCAGTGGGCCATATGGTCCGTGTTCTCGCAGTGTAAGTTTCCATGATGGAATCGTCACATTAGGGCGTTCACGGATGGGAGGCGTATGGACTGTGGTCTGCGCGGCGTAAACCACACGCTGAGATGCTACTGAAGATGGACTTCACAAACCACTGAAGTGTGATCACTCAAGCCAATGATATACTTTTGGAGCGTTGCCACATAAACAGACATAGGATACGGGTGCGACTGGGTTGGAGCATCGTATGTGTCCATCGTCTCACATGGTGGGGACACAACTAGCATGGGGCACATTACACGAGCCCTTGTTGTATTTGATCGGGAGCCTTCTAAATGAGGTTTAATTCTCAAAATATGACTCTGAGTCATGCATTCTTGGCAGATGCACAATAGCACTTCACTCAATACAAATGTGAAGGGTAAAGAGTGATACCTGAGTGAAGCAGCGACAGACACGTAGTGGCCTGCCAATGACCCCACCCCACTGGAATGAAGCAGTGACAGACACGTAGTGGCCTGCCAGCGACCCCACCCCACCGGAATGAAGCAGTGACAGACACGTAGTGGCCTGCCAGCGACCCCACCCACTGGAATGAAGCAGTGACAGACACCCACTGGAATGAAGCAGTGACAGAACACGTAGTGGCCTGCCAGTGACCCCACCCCACTGAATGAAGCAGTTGATCAGACACGTAGTGGCCTGCCATTGACCCCACCCCACTGGAATGAAGCAGTGACGACCGTAGTGGCCTGTCAGCGACCCCACCCCACTGGAATGAAGCAGTGACAGACACGCAGTGGCCTGCCAGCGACCCCACCCCACTGAATGAAGCAGTGACAGACACGTAGTGGCCTGCCAGCGACCCCACCCCACTGGAATGAAGCAGTGACAGACACGTAGTGGCCTGCCAGTGGACCCACCCCCACTGGAATGAAGCAGTGACAGACACGTAGTGGCCTCCAGCGACCCCACCACCACTCCCCATTATCTGAGTCCCGTGAAAATCAGTCAGGACTGTCGAGGGTCACGACTTTTGCCGCCAGATACACGAACCGGTCACGTGCTCTGGTGGCTGGAGCATTCCTTGTAAGCAGTGTCTACGGCATCCGCCTGCAATCGCAAGTGTCCTGGCTGTGCGTTCGTGACTAGCAGTCAGACAAGGGCAGCAGCCACTGATGCGCTCGCTTCGAAGCCACAGAGTTTAACATCTTACATGTGCTTGACCATTACGCGGACGGCTAATACCACCTAGTGCAGTCTAACGTGTCCGATCAAAGCATGTCTACGAGTTCATTCATACTTTCTCTGGGGTCTTATCTTTCATGGGCTCGGAAGAGACGAACGTCATTCAGCTACACTTGCGACATACGGCACATCCGGCGGTGCTTCACCGATAAAGACAGGTGGCCCGATATAGCACAGTGCTATGGGAAGAAGAGCACATGCGAATTTCCCAGCTTGTGCGGAGTCAAAGACACCTGTGCCGGCTTTCTGTGAACCAAGGATATTTATATGGAAGCCCGGCGACAACTGGCTTTTCCCATATAGCAAAACTTTTGACCCGGTTAAAGGTATGTTTGCAACGGAGTTCTCAACGCGTCGGACGCGGGATAGCCGAGGGCTGCCAACATAACACATGAAAGACTATGAAAGCGGCTACCGTCTCAACTTAGCTTGAGTCCCGGATGAGCGGTCGGACGTTTATAATAAGCCAATCACGAACATGCTCCACGTCACATTCGGTTTCAAGGATTCGCTAAACCGTAGGAGAGAACGACCGTTCTATTGCTCATCTGTTATGAACATCATACGGAACATTTTAGCTCACATGAACATCTCAGATAACGGGTGGACGTTGGCGCACCCATGGTAAAAAATAATAATAAGTAGTCATAGTTGCACTGAGCATCTAGGACAAATGCGATACATTATCTCTAGCGCTACATGGAAGAAGAGGAGGCATACATTTGCAAAACGCCGGTCACGTTCTGACTCAAAAGCCAAAGTGGACGCGT